CTGGACTCTTTAGGGAAGAAAAATGTCTAGGATTAGAAATACACATACACACACACACACACACACTCATATACATAAGGATACACATGTATACATCCATGTATATTACATTTACATTTATAAACATATACACACACACACACACACACACACACACACACACACACACACACACACACACATATATATATATATATATATATATATATATATATATATATGTATGTATATATATATGTATATATATATACATATGCCTATATCTGTAAATTATATATGAATATATATATATATATATATATATATATATATATATATATATATATATATATATACATATATATATATGCACACACACATACATATAAACATACACACTCATAAATACATACACACACACACACACACACACACACACACACACACACACACACACACACACAACACACACATATATATATATATATATATATATATATATATATATACATATCTATATATCTATATATATATCTATATATATACATATATTTTTTTCTTTAGATCTCCCTGTATGTATATATGTATGTATCTGTTTTTCTTATCTATATATGTGTGTGTTGCGTGTGGGTGTGTTTTCGTGTGTGCGTGTGTACGTGCGTGTGTGCGTGCGTGCGTGTGTGTGTGTGTGAGAGAGAGAGAAAGAAATGGGTGTATATCTGTGTAATATATATATATATATATAATATATACATATATATATACATATAATATATATATATGTATATACATATATGTATATATGTGTTAATATATTATATATATATATATATATATATATACATAGTATATATATATATACATATATATATATATATAATATATATATATATATATATATATATATATATATTATATATATATATATATATAATATATAATATATTGTGTATATGTGTGTATATATATATGTATATAATATATATATATATATATATATATATATATATTATAATATATATATATATATGTATATATATTATATATATATATGTATGTATTATATATATATATATATATATTATATATATATATATATATATATTATATACACACACACACACACAGAGGTATTTAGTGTATGTATGTATGTATGTATGTATGTATATATCATATATACATATATATATATATACATATATATACATATATATGTATGCGTATGTGTGTGTGTGCATGAAATAAATACACACAAACACACACATATGTGTGTGTGTTGGTGTTTGTGTGCGTGTGACACACACACAAATATGTAGCATATAATTATACACATGCATATATATATGAACCCACGCACATACACAGTAACACCCCCCCCCCACACACACATATATATATATATATACATGTACATACTATTCAATGCACACACATGCTTACAGGCACAATGATACATACTTTCTCACAGACACGCGCCCTCTTTTTCGTCGTTCGAAGCGGCTAGGACCATCTGGTCCTCCTGGGGTTGTGGTCGCAGATAACTAGTTAATCCAATCCGCACCCTGGAAGTTTTTTTCATTGCAGTGAATGGGTAGGAAGCACGGCTTAGGTTAGGGAAGCACGGCGATCGGCTAGGAAGCACGTTAGGTTAGGGAAGCACGGCGATCGGCTAGGAAGCACGGCTTAGGTTAGGGAAGCACGACGATCGGCTAGGAAGCACGGCTTAGGTTAGGGAAGCACGGCGATCGGCTAGGAAGCACGGCTTAGGTTAGGGAAGCACGGCGATCGGCTAGGAAGCTCTGGGGAATATGTCGGTCCTGTTATTTCTGGCCTGCCTGCGGTGCTCCATGGTAGCATTGTTGGCTTGATAGCTATCTCAGTGTTCCTTGCTGCGTTTCACCCCAAGTACCGTAATTGATTTTGAAGGCCTTACTTGAAACGCATCTTTTGGCTTCCTTGGAGCCGCATACCTTTCTTCTCATGTAGCCTGTGCTCTGGTATGCATACATAAGAAGCTTTTTGTGTGCGGAAGATGCTTAGTCCAGTGTACGATCTGCCTGGTGCTGGCTGATGCATTAATTCGGTCTTTTTGGTACTGATCGTTAAGTCAAAATCGGCGGACGCATCTAAGAACTTGTCAATACTGCACTGCATGTCAGCTACAGAGGCAGCACGGAGGGCACGGCAAATGGGGAATCGATGATGGCGTTGCCAATGTCTCTGCCTGTGTCCCTGAATGCATGTCAGCATTGATCAAAACGTGAGACTGAACAGAATAAGGGGAAGAAGACAATCCTGTTTCACTCCACTAGAGACTGATAAAGGTTTAGATGTCTCTCCGCTGTCTTAGACCTTAGCAATGATACCATCAATTGACTTACGATGGTACTGAATTTCTTCGGCATCCCTACTTTGCCATGATTCTCCAAACGCACTTTCTATAGTATTAAAAACTTTAATCAGACAAAGGTGCAGAATTTGGGCCAGATTCACTAACGCACTTACGACAGTAAAATCATTGGTAATTATAGCTACCATGGTAAACAGACTGAGTGGTATTCACTAACTTGCCGTCAGAATTACCATAGTAAATCTTACCAGTGGTCGGAGCACTGGTAACTTCATCACGTGTTATCTCGTCCAGAAATCAATATTTGAAGCAAAGTTTTTGGTTTGTTTTTATACCTGATAAAATTATTATGGCAAACATATCACAATATGGACATGGTGAAAAATACAAATTTCACATGAAACTAGCAAGAATAAAATCCACACAAATTCTCGTCAAATTATAGGTAGACACAGACCTAGACTGTAGAATAAGCTACCTTGCAGATATATGCAATGGCAATACCAACATTAAGTATAACAACTGTTTCAGTATTTTGGCAAAGAACAAAATCCAAATCACATGGGCAACACATGGGTGAAATATGAATAAAAAATTATTTGGCCCGGTTAATTGCTTAACAATGATGAGAAATAAATAAATAAATGAAAACTGCTTGGACTGTTTCTTTGCTTTGTGGGAAATAAGGATATATTAACATAATAACCTTGAATTGGTTCCTATCTATACGATAAAGGGAAATCTATTAACATCCTACATGATGGATAAGATTAAATAAAGCTATAATTTTTCTACATGTGCTTAAATTGTGATTTAACTGTGATAAGGATCTTTCAAATCTCGCTGTGTCTAGTTCTTTTTACATGTTACGTAATTGGCCAAAGGAACCTAAAAGATTGTGTATGTTGCTTGCTGATTGGTGGAATTGCTCTACTAGAGCCCTCTGTTGGCTACCACCGGAATGAGTCGATTTACGATTGTAACTCAGTCGATGCGGGTTACCATTTCTTCGTGAATTCCACTTCACCATCACTTATAAAGCAGTGGTAAATGACCGCTGGTAAATGCGTTACAATCGTATGATGGTGAATCTGGCCCCAGGTGTCAGCTCTATGCAGAACGGGATGGGTTGGGCTTCACACCTAGGCATTGCAGTTGCCTTACTTCCTGGCTTCGCACCTTCATTGTCAGTCAAAGACTTTCTCTTCCGGCGACCAGCACTTCGTCACGCCCGGAAGAATGGACATCCAAAGAATAGGGTCCGAGGCACCTCCGCCAGCAGGACAAAGAATCCCTGGATATAAAGACAGGTAGAGAGAGAGAGAGCACCAGAAGCAGACCAATACCTAGCAGAGGAATCCCAGGACAGGAGGTCACCTCCGCCCTCGGTACTCGAGCCACAGCGTCACTCTCGGGGGCCACACCTTTACCTCCCGAATAAACCAGCAAGACAAGTCCCCTTTCATTCACCACCAACCTCCACGCCCACAACTCATCACACCAGGTTCATATTCAGCCCCTGAATTTCTCTTCGACCTTTCTACCTTGTTCAAGATGAGTGTTGAGTCAGTTGAATAAACTTCTGGCCTAAGTCTTGCCATCTATGGACAGAAGGGAGATCCCAAGATGATTGTCACAGGCATGATAATGCGTTTAGATCCAACAAATCAGGAACCTAAGTCAATCATTAATGTAGATTCACTACACTGTTGAAGCTTTGCCCAAGGATTTTCTCTTAGTGACCAGCGCTGAGGAAGAGATGAGCCCTACGGGGCAGACCATTGTAAAAGTTCTTCATTTCTTTCACGCAACAGCTTTGAGGTATCTTTTATAGGCATGACGCTTGTTCTCAAACAGAAATTTTTCATCATAGTCCTCGTACTTTCTGGTAGAGGGTTTAACACACTCTTTGGCTGTGTTGTATAGCTAACCAAATATATTCGCGGCCATCATAAAATAGTCGAGCTTGGATTTTATCTGGTAACAGTATAGTGCATTCAGATATGACAATGTAAACATTGTTAATGATAAAGCAGTATTTAAAAAGGCAATAAAAATAGCTATAAAAAGTTTTTAGATATATGATAAATTTGTTTTTATCCTATATATAACCTCCCTTTCCAATATCACCTGTTATATAACTAGACATCCATTGTGTCCTATTACAGATAGAACAGGAGAAGACTACTGCTGTTGCAATTGCCAATCCCATGCTTCCTAATCATCCTTTCCCAGAAGCTGTCAGAGCCAACTCTTGCCTCTATAACACCAATGACGATGTTTATCACTATCTGAACAGGATAGTAAGGAGCACCTTTTCTTGCACTTCCCTTGTGACATGGAGGTGAGCGATGTACCCACATTTGCCGCTTCGCCTGTCTCTATAGGGCTTTAAGGGAAACTGATAGGATGGGGTACGGGATGACTCATGGCTTGCGCTATGACTATTAAAAGCGAGGCAGAGTTGCGTGCCGTCAATTTCACTCTCGTCAAGTACCATCCGTAACCAGTAGCAGAACCAAGTCGAGATGACTGTAGATGGAATTAGATGCAGTGGATGACCAGAATGTTTCAAGCGCTTCCTTTTGGTCTGTGCATTTCACAGTGATTTGCTGTAACTGCATATTTCTCCGTTGACCTATGTAGGTTTCTTCTGAAGAGTCTGATAGAT